CATGTCAATGCTCCTTCACTCTCTACCCCATCAACGCAAATTAACAGAAGGCCCCCCTCCCCTCCCCCAAGACACTCGAGACGGTGGCAGAAGTTTAATGGTGTTGTGTTGGGTGGTGAGCCCCCTGTCTCTGAGGTTTCCCTGTAGGATACTGTACAAGCACGAGGACGTGAACACACAACAGAAGATACTCAGAGGACCTTTATTCTCAAAATTCCACTACCAGGTGTATCTCATGTATTTAAATTCTTCCTTCTTTTTTGTAAAGACTGAATTGTTTTGGAAGGCACCGCCCAGCTGCTGTTTCCAGAGTTTACGCAAACTTTTACTCCAAGCTGCTCATCCTCGTCTGTTTCCTCAGAAATACTGAACTTCTCAGTTTCCTTCTGTGTTCACTCAAACAGCCTGCAGTGCTTCTGAGAGAGGCATTAGGAAGCTAGAAAAACAAGGCGAAAGCCCTGGAATTGAGGGGGGGTTGTTGGGTTGAGGATCCCTGTGCGTGTGCCTGTGTGTGTGTTGAGAAACAGACCAGTAAGGTTTAACAGGTTGGCCCATGTGGCCTTGCTTATAAATCAAACTGATCTTTTTACTGTTATTTTCTAGTGAATGCAGACATGCTTCCCATACGGAAGAAGGAGGAATAAGTTGAAACATTGCAAATATAATAAAAATCCCAGCAGTAAGCGAGACGGGTGTGCAGGAGCTCCGTTAGGTCGGGGTTCCCTGCGTCACGTGTTCCCGTCTATTTAAAAGGCGCTGGTGAAATAAAGCAGGCAATTAGAACAGCCTCGGGATCGTGGATAGATTTAAGAGGGACTAAACACAGCCACGGGTCTAAACTCACACACACCTACCAAGGACCAAACGCCACACGGCTGCAGTAATAACACGACGTAGTTGATGGTACTGCCACTGTCTGCTTGCGTATGAACATAAAAAATGCAGAGTAAAAGCGGACAGTGGCTGCAGTGGTTTTAATACTCTGGTTCTTATTTTAGAACTTAGTCTTTCTCTTCAGCCCACAGAGCGGTTCTTCCTCATACCAATCCAAATGCTCTCTGCAGGTAGACGGGCGTGGACGCAGTGTAGTGTAGATTCTCCACGGATGAGTCCATGTGGTCACAGAGAACAGGCAGGCGAGCAGACATCCACACAGATCCTCACACTCACTGATTGCAAAGCCTCGAAGGTCCGTTTGGTTCGTAATTTGTGACAAATTTGCATCACTCAGACTCGAGCAGACTCCAGAATCTTATTTTTTCAGTGTCATCTTTACCAAGTTCCCAGCTCGCCTGCTGCACTTGCAGTTTTAAATCTTTGCATTATTGGCAAGTGATGCTTTATTAACCAACGTTAAGCTTTTTCCTTTCACCACTGAAGCTTTTTAAATGACTGGTGCTCAGTAGTGATCTTAAGTCCAAACTACTGAAGCCATCTATTTAAAAAAAAAAGAAAAAAAAAGAAAGTGCCAAATCTTTTATTTGCGTTAAGTTTCTCCCCGAAGAAGAAAGAGGAGGGAAAAACCCAACCGATCCAAGACCCAAACCTTGAGAGAATGTCAGCAGCGTCTGCAGCTCGACGTGCTGCATGAGAGTCAAGCTCAGTCCTTAATCAGCTTAGCCAACTGAAAATCTCCAATCTGTCATAAACGTTTTGATTTCTATTGGACCAAAAAGGCTAAAAAGTGTAAATCTACTCCCATCATTCATTATTTCAAAAACAAGGCCTATAAACACGGGTGAAACTGGCACTGAACCTAAATCCCCGAGACCCATAAACCAGCTCTGAATATAAGACAGTCTTGGTGCATAGATTGACCTACAAAGCTGGAATCTTTCAAAGGAAGACCATCAGCGAAGATCTGTTCCTCCTCGTGGACGGCCTCCTGCTCGTTTATCTCTGGTGGGCTTCTGAGCGTTTGCAGCGAGCGCTCCGCAGGAGAGGAGCAAACAGCTGGAGTGAAGCTCTGACAGCTGTCAGAACAAAGAACGAGGCTTTAATGGGGGGAAAAGGTGGTTAATTGAGTCCGGTGGGAGCAGCAGCTGTATGGGCGGGCACACTCGGTGTGCTTGACAGCAAACCAGGACTGTTCAAGTGCTCCTCCATGAGGAAATGTTCTTCACTGCCATTTTATTGACAATGCGGGAGGCGACGCGGCGTCAGCCTGCTAACATAAAAACCAATAAGCTTGGGTTACAGGGTCTCCACCTGCTCACCCCCTCACTGATCCTTCAGCCTCTCAGTCTTGTGTTGAACTGTGTTCTCAGCAGAGGGGACTGGATGGGCTCTTTGGGCTTTACTTTACACCACCCACAGAAGGATCCACCCCCTTTTTTAACCAGCCTGGGTGGGGCTAAAACAAGCTGAAAACCCCCCTAAAAAACCTCTCAGCTGATTTATTTGCAGACTTGCCAGACTGCAGTTACTCTTAAATTTGGTCTTTTTTTTTTTTTTGCCCGTTTCACCCAACTGTTAATTCAAACTACCTTACTAACTGCTGGTGAACAAAGAGGACTTTGTAACGAAGATGGAGCTCACCAACATCTCTAATCACTTCCTGCAACAGTTTCTGGGGGTCACGAGAGATTTTTAATAGACTTTTTTTCCCTCGATGATGAAGATGATCCCTAATTTGACCTCTTCACCTCTCTGCTGTCACAGCCCCGGGCCTTTGTGTTGTCCGAAAAATTAGAGGCAGACATGACAAAAACCAAAAGAAGCAAAGACACAATCAGCTTTGCCTTTTAACTTTCTGAAATCTATTTTGGAAACAAACAAAAAAAAATCTAATTAGATGTTTGGAAATATTTTTTTAATGGCGCTGCATTATAAATACATTATGAAGGCTCCGGTTTGGAGGCGCAGAGATAAAGCCTGGATTTGAGTCTGAAAGACGAAATCCCAGAGATGTATTTAATAAAAAACACAGAAACAAAAGAAGTTTTCTTCATCGCTCTATTTGCAAAGCATAAACAAAAGTAAACTGTGTTCTTGTGTATGACATGAAAAAGGTCTTTAAAGGGCTGATGTATAACTTCTCAGCTTCTCACAGTGACCAGCACGTTCTTATACAAACACGAGGCTTCCTGTCAAACTTAGAACACTTTTGATGTGGGCGGGGCTAACACTTGAGGAAAATACTTTTTCATGATGGGTTTTCTGTTTTTAACTTTCAAAGAAAATACATGTGAGACACAAGCTGGGCTAATACAAGTCACCTGTTTTATTTCCACGTGGGCAGACAATGTTAACATCGACCAACTGTGGCAGCAGCTTTTAAAAGAAATCCTTATTTGAGGAGGCTGAATGCTGCGAGAGTGGCAGCTGCAGCACCAGCTGCTGTTTGGACCTCAGCCGCTTAAGTTTAAGCCGGGCTCAGACTCCGCCTCCGCCGTCCTCCTCCAATCAGGCAGCAGCTGGCAAGGTCCCCTCTGTATCTGTTCTAGTGGGTTTATTTCTGTTTTAAGTGTTTCTACTCTACACACTACAATAAAGTGTTCTCCTTGTTGATATCTCCCTGCCCCACCTGACGATAATGTATCAAATCTTTAAATATTATCATGTTAAGAGTATACTTTATGCAAATATATATGAGTATGATGAGTGTATTGTATGTATCAGCAGTGAAATATTTTTCAAATAAAATTATTTGTTTCTGTCATCGAGATTCGCCCGTGTTTACAGTCGCTTGCTGGCTTCATTCACAACTCTCAGCCAATCGGTGAAGCCCGCTGGTATTTTTATATGGTGTTGCCATCCAGCTCGGGCAGAATCTGCAACAGAGAAACGCTGCTGCTGCTTCTCCACCGCCACATGCAGCTGAATAGAGCTGAGCGGTTAAAGCACACTTCAGCAGGACAAAAAGCTTGTAGGTTAACCCGAGAGGTTCGTCGTGGTTTGCTTCCCGCGGCCCTGTAAAGTTGCTCAAAGCATGAGCAGACACTCTGGACGCACATTAAATAATCATGGTTACAGTGGAAGCAGCGTATCTATATTTGATCTGTCCAGCCGAGGTTGGGTCGTTTTCCTGCTACTGAGCATTTCTTTCATCCTCTGCCAAAGCTTCACAAAACCTCAGATGCCGCTTTAAAAATTGAAAGTAAAGTTTCTTCTTGAGACTCTGCGTGTTATGAGAAGGCATCTGAATTTTAATATTTCAAAACTCTTCTAAAGCTGAGTCACTGCACGCCGATCACATCTGCAGGCTTCAAACATCACTAATCGCGCAGCCTGGATCAGTGTGCGGCGCCAAGACCTGGACGTGAAGCTGTTATAACAGCAGAAGGCTTCAGCAGGACGTCAAACACAATGTTTGACTTATTAATGAGTGATTAACATGTAAACAGCCAGTGTTGGAAACATCTGAGGTGGAGATTTTAATCACCATAAGCACCTTAGGGTTCGAGAGGACTCATTTTCTGCCATGTATATACTTATAGCCACTTTATTAGGTACACCTTTTCAGCTAATTGTTAATATATACCTAATCTAAGTAAATCTATAATCAGCCAATCACATGGCAGCAACTCGATGCATTCAAGGTGACCTGCTGAAGCTCAAACCAAGCATCAGAATAAAAAGAAATGTGACTTTTAATGTTGTTGCTGCCAGATGGGCTAATTTGAGTATTTCAGAAACAGCTGATCTGCTGGGATTTCCCCAAACAACCATCTTTCAGGTTTAGAGGTTCCAGTGGTCTCAAGTATTGCTGCTGACCATGTCTATCCCTTTATGACAGGGGTGGGCAATTCCAGGCCTCGAGGGCCGGTGTCTTGCAGGTTTTAGAGCTCACCTTAGGTCAACACACCTGAATCACATGATTAGTTAGTTACCAGGCCTCTGGAGAACTTCAGGACATGTTGAGGAGGTAATTTAGCCATTTAAATCAGCTGTGTTGGTTCAAGGACACATATAAAACCTGCAGGGACACCGGCCCTCGAGGCCTGGAGTTGCCCACCTCCAAAATCTGAGGAATGTTTCCAAGACCTCATTAATCTGAGACATGAAGAAAACAGCTTAAATAAGAAAGCGACTGTGATTCTTGAAGGTGTTGTAAATAGCATTTATTTAAAAAAAACAACAACCAAAAAACGTGTTCAGCATCTTTTCTGACATCCTGTGTGCTCGCAGCAGTGATGATGGATCTGTGCAGAGTTTCAGAGCACCTCGGTCAAGACTCAGGAGTGGAGCAGAAAATAAACAAGACTTAAACTAACACCTAACTTATCAGAGGGGTGTACTGCAAAACGAAAATCAGTCTTCAGTTAACAGGTGATGATCATATAATCTGATCCGGAGCAAATTCTATTCAGAGTTTTGGTTTAAAATCTGTTGCAAGTGGCACATTTCTGTTTGCAGAGCATACCATCAAGTCCCGCCGTAAAGCTACAGCTCTGCAAACTGTGCATGACACAGTTAGTTTCATAGCTCTGATATCCAGCTGTCCAAATAAACAGCAGCACATCGAGCATGCTGAGTTCTAATTTATTAATCCACAGCAGTGTTGCCTTCTGCTGTTTTATTTATATTACTTATACACACACACTATTTATCCCCTCTTTATAATATCTCAGAGTGAGATATATGGCACTCGATCAGATTTGTGAGGAAGAAGAGTAAAAAGCCACATCAAACACCTGGTTTTATGGAAGCGTGCAGAAAATCTGTGTTGACAGAGAAAACTTATAACCACCATTATTACCGTCATCTCTGGGATACTGGGGGTTTTAATTACTGTCGAATCAGCTAACTCAAAGTCTGGCAATGCTGAACCCGCTCTGTAGTGCACCCCTCTGAAGTAAACACATGTATGTTGTGTGAAACGTTGTGACACAAGAAAAAGAGTCCATCTTCACATCAAATTATTGCCCCCCCCCCACAGAAATATGCAGAGGCACTGAAATCCACTTTCCCAGTGAGGTACAGTATTCTACAACACACACACAGCACTCAGCATTCACACATGTAAAACAGATCTTTCCTCACGTGTACACAAAGGTCCACTAAACTCTCCTTTGGTTGACAAATCAAAGAGTAAACAGAGCTGGGAGGGGAGGTTTGCTGATGTGCTTCTAGTTCTCATTCATTCGGACGTCGTGTGGACTGAAAGCAGCTGCAGCAGAGGTGCAACACAAGGCAAACTGGTGTTTTGCCACTCAGGAGGAAGAGGTGGTGGTGGAGGAAACACTGGAAAAGTCTGTGCTCACACTGAAAGCAACACGCCGCTTAAACTCTACAACTTTGTGCGCTTGCTGGCTGCTAAAGGCCAATCACACGTGTGTGTGCTTCATTAGGTGGTAACATGTGTGCAGCTGTGATGAGAATGCAAGAAGCCTTGTTGGTGAAGGTGAAAGCATTTGTTGCTGGAGGTGTGAACACAGAGGTGGAGGGGGGGAGTGTGTAGCAAACCGTCTCATGCAGAGGGTGACGGCATGTCGGGGTCCGGCTCGTAGCGGTAAGTGGCCTGAGTCTGGCTGCCGCTGCTGTGCTGCTGCTGCTGCTGGTTGCTGTGTGCGGCCGGGCCTGAGCCGTCCTGAGCCTGCTGGTTCAGGCCCTCGTAGGCCTGTGCTGGCTGGGGGGCTGCACTGCTCTCAGACGCCGGCCCCAGCACCACCTGCTGGGGGAGAGTGTCCAGCTCGTCCACCTGCGGCCCGGGAGGGTGCATGACCACCAGCTGGTCCTGCGGAATGTCTGCGGCCGCCGCTGCCAGGTTGGTGGTTGACTTGGACTTGACGCACTGAAAGTCCACATGCCGACTCTTGCCTTCCTCCTTCTCCCAGGACATCCTGATGAAGGGGCGCTGCACGTAGTTGTAGATGACTTCCGGACGGCCTCCAGGTCGTCGCTTCACCTTCTCTTTGTAGGTCGGGTATCCTGGGAAGGAAGGAACAATATGTAGTCGGGACAAAACAAGCTCGAGTGAAGCTGGGTTGCAAAATAGCTTGCAGACAGATACGCACTAACAGCATCTATTGGTTGGAGGATGAGGAGAAACAACTACTCACTACAGGTGCGAGTGCACACAAGTTAATGACATACTGTTATTGGTATAAAACCATCATGGGTAGCCTCCTCCAGCAGTCTGAGCTTAGAGCAGTGTAACTAAGCGAGGATTCAGAGTCACCCGATCCAACCCCAACTATGTTTTATCAAAAAGTTACGTTTTAAGCCAAATCTTAAAAGTAGAGGCTGTCTGCCTCCCGAATCCAAACTAAGCAGCTGAACTATAACTAATGACTCTGTGAGATTCACCATTTGACTCAAACACTGTTTGAGTCAATGTAATATGATGGGAAAATAAACCAACAAGACTCGGCTGATGGCATCAAACTAACCTATATTTTACAAAAAAAATTCAACTTGGATATTGTTAATTACTGATAATTGAAAAAATGTGGGATGTGTGGCCCTGATTCTTTTCGAGCTCCAGCTTTGAGACATGCCAGAAGAAAGTGTTACTTGGCTTCACGCATAGAGGCGAGTGTTACTGAGAGTTTTAGCATGAAGCTAGAGCTTGTATTTAACATTTTCCTAAAAGTCATGTAATGAAAGCCACATTTACAGGCATTTTACTGTTGTTGTGGAAATTCTTGCCTCAGATTCGGCCTTTTAGATTTTAACAACCTGTTAAACAACATAATTTACTGTGTGTAGTGTGGGTAAAAACGTCCCTCTGCAGGCCCGCAGGAACGCTCCCGTTTGTTCCTGTGAAACTGTTTCCATGACCTACAACTGTTTTTCCTTCCAGGTTTGCTGTTGTGTTTTTTAGCTTGGTAAATGGAGTGATTCTTACATAGCGGAGTACTAGCTAACATTTATACTCCAAAGGATGCATCGGAGAGCAACTTCCTCCTGAACTACAGGAGGTAGAGCAGGCATAACAAGCCATCATGACAAGTACTGTAATGTGAGCTGAAGTACTCTGCAGACTTTTATGCTGCTTATGACGATTAGATAGCGGTCCATCATAAAGCATCATCAAGAAGGTGACTGATGTGTCCTAAATGAATTCATTCCATCCTCTCCTCATACAGACATGACCTCACCAAGTCACTTGTATTAGGAGACAGTAGACACCAATGTGGTCTAAACATAGAGAAGAACTAGGACAAGAGCTCACCAATTTTATTTTATTTTGAAACTCAAGGGAAACGGGTATAGGGTGAAAAATACTGGGCCCATCATAGGCCCCTGAGGAACTCCACTGCTAACTTGTTTGTTTATAGAACCTGTCATGTGATGATAAAAAGTTGTGATCAAGGTGGAAAAACCGAGGTCACTTATTAGCAATGATTCTGGCACTGAACTAAAAGATGAGCCGGGAATCCTGTAAGTGCATTTGGGGAACAAGGGTCACAGCACCGTGTGGGGCTATGTTGTTCTTGTGCCTTGGGTTCCAGCGATCTGTCACAAAGCAGACTGAACATCCAACGTGCCAAACCTAGTTTGTGACTTTATGTCTCAGACATACTGGTACAGTTTTACTATTGAAACGTTGAATATCCTGAGATATCTACACCTCAGAGCTGATTCTCATTCCCGTTGCTTCAAACTCGGCCACGACCGCTCCAGTGCAAGCCGGAGGTCACCAACCGATGAAGCCAACAGAACCGCATCATTGATTGAGTTAAATTACCTAAATGACTCTAAGCTGCTGCACTTGATGATACATCTGTGATGGTTTTAGTCCTGGTTGCCACTGGGAGCTAAAGGCTGAGCAGAGCTGTGCCTGTGCCAGCCTGGCTATGAAAAAAAGCAGTCTGTAGGAAGCTGATAAGGACTCTTTGTGACATCATCTTTGAAAGCAATTACTTTTACAAAATATTTTACATCGGCTTTAGACATTCAAGGACCAGACTGCATTTGAAGACAAACACTATTCTGAAAGCCACCAGTAACAAAAAAAACCTTTGTGGTGTACCTTCAATTCCCAGTCGGATCTTTTTCAGTCCTCTGTCCTTCAGCACCGACTTGGCCACGTCTCTGTTCTCGATGTACTTGAAGAAGCGGTAAAGTTTGGTGCTGTAGATGACTGCGACAAGAGATGACAAGAGATACATTCAAAATCAAACCAATGTGAAGTCAGCGCATTAAAATATGAAGAAAAACCGACAACTCTCCGAATGCACGACTTTCCTGCCCTATCTGAGACATTTAAAAGGTAAACAAGAAAAAGCCACACAAACAGAAAGTAAGCGGGAGCTGCAGGAAGTGTTCGTGCCACTGTGGCCTGTTTTCACACACCGAGGCACCTTAGCCTGGTTTCTGTAAAGTGGAGCACGGCCTCCATCAGATTACTGTCACCCAGTTATGAGGCTAACAAACCAGATCAGTGGAGCAGCAGGGTTCACTATGAAATCTTACTCTGCGAGTACTCCTCTCCCATCTGCGGTGGGTACTCTTCGTCCCAGTCCACCACATCGTCGTCAGTCAGCACCACCACGTGACACTCCCTCTCTCCGCTCTGGGCGCTGGCCACCATCAGCGGCAGCACCATCTCCTCCAGGTAACACTCAAACTGACGCCGGGCTCCGTCGTTGGACAGCTCGTGCATGAGGGCGCCTGAGGACGAACAGACCAGACGTCATTGTGGACAGAAAGCAGAAGCCAGAAACGATACTGAGCTGTGATTCTTGCTCTAATCAAAGCAAGTAGAAGACTTTAATTACTCCACATGAACGACTATCTGTATCAAACTTGTTATTGTATTGGATTAATAATAGAAACAGTCAAGACACTCAGGTAATCCTGAATAGAAGCATATGGAGGAGCCTTTTAACTGTGGGTTGTTTTTTTAATCAAATTTGACTAACAGTTCTGAAAATGCAGTTTGTGTCCACAGAAGTTATTTCTAAAGAAGACTAGAAGGTGGTGGTGGTGGTGGAGGCACCACATGATTCAACTTTTAGCAGGAATAATTGGAAATCGGGCTGGACCATATCATACCGTTCATGGTAATACCGGTATAATGTTCGGCAACGATACGAAAATGAAATATCGCGATAGAAAATGTGCAAAACGCGCATGCGCAGTGCCTTTGCTTTCATACGCACATGGCGGCAACGCAGAATGAGAAGAGCGAAAGCGGATCGTTGAATGAAACGGATGAACCAGAACTGGTTTGTAAAAATGCTGCAACTTCAGTGGTGTGGAACTGGTTTAGCTTTCGTCCGTCAGATACACAACAAAGCAATATTTTTGGTAGCGCATGCTAGCGGGCCGTCGTTTTTACCGTGTTTTTTAGAAAATACGGCACACTTAAAATCAATCCTTTGATTTTCTGAAAATCGACAGTGCCCCTTATAATCCCGTGTGCCTTATGTACTCCTCGCGGAGTGATACGTACTGTGCTTCAACATAATATTACCTTATTGTGTGTGTATAACCTCTTTTTAAGTTTTGTGGATATTATACATGGTTATGCTGAGGATATGTCGGCCAGTTTCCACTGGAAATGCGTTTTGGTTAAACTGCCAGCAAGGAATTTGCATTTGCACTTTTATATTTTTTTACAACTTTAATGCACATAAAAAAAACAGCTGCTTGTTTATGTGAAAATATACTGATTTTTTTTTTTGCACTAATAAAGTTGTGGAGTTGTAAAGTATTTTGTCTAGTGTCAATTATATCGTCAGTTATATCGTTATCGCAAATTTTCAAATGTATATCGTGATAAATATTTTTGGTCATATCGCCCTGCTCTAATTTGATTTAATCGTTCATTGAATGTCTTTATCAGTCTCTCAGAGTGTTGTGGAGGAATTGTGGCTCACTCTTCGTTACAATGCTGCTTCGGTTCATTGAGGTTTGCGGGCATTTGTTTATGCACGGCTTTCTTAAGGTTCCACCGCAAGCTTTAGCTCTCAGACAGATGCCCTCACATTTGACTATAAAATACGCCTCAGCGTGGCTGCAAAACAGGCCCAAAGCATAGACCTCCAACGCTGTGCTGCGAGTTGATACGAGATGTTTGTGCTGATATGCCGTGTTTGATTTTCACCACATGTGGCACGGTGCATTAATGCTGAACATCTCAACTTTGGTGTCGTCGCTTCGAAGGGGATTGTTCCAGTAGAGGTTTGCTCAGATGCAACTTTATCTAAACTGTGCAGCCCTTTTCTTTTCAGAGGGGAGAGGCTTTCTCCTAACAACCTTTCCTTGTTCAGTCTTTTTTATTATACTGTCATGAACTTTAACATTTAACATTTAACAAGCTAACTGAGGCTTGTAGAGCCTGAGCTCTTGGGATTTTTGCAGTTTCTCTAAGCATTGTGCCATCTGACCTTGGGATGAATTTCCTGTGGCATCCACTCCTGGGAAGAACTGCAACTGTCCTGAATGTTTTCCACTTGAGGAGAATATTTTGGACTTTGGTGGACTTTAAAATCATTAGAAATGGCCTTATAACCTTTCCCAGACTGACATCATGGCAGCAACAGTTGCTGTTCTAAGATCTTTGATGATGATTTTAAACTTCTAACTTTTCAAAAGTGCTCACACTCGGGTGTCCCCTTTCACTCACCATGTGTTCATGCACCACTCTGCATTTAATCATTAGTTATTATTAATCTCTGACTCCTCCCCCTCACACCAGCCAATCATCTTGTCATGTGTTGTTGCTCACCTGTGGTTGTATTTACTTAATGTTTATTAAGATTTAAGGTTTATTAATTAATATTTGTAAGCTGTACTGTGACACAAAAGATAAATATCAGCCAGTGACATCGGTGAATGTAATCTTATTTGCCAGTATCACTGAACAGGGTATTCTGCTACTGAGCTGATATATCAGTACATCCCTGGTGTTTCTACCTGGAACAGCAATCAATTGAAATCACAGACATGCTGACTGAAAAAAAGAACTCTAAAAAGTAGAATAAAAAAAAAAATCCCATCCTGTTGTGGATTAATTAACTTTACCAGCTTTGGCTTGTTATGTGCCTGCATAACAAGCACTGAATCTCACAGCTAATCATGACCTACTTTAGAGCTCAGCATAGAGCAGCAGCAAGCAGCAGGCTGCGCGCTGAAGCCACTCCTCCCACACACTCAGACACACAAACAAGAGGCACAGCCATGCACAACGACAACAACAACAAACGTCCATCACACGCAGCATTGTCACAAACCAGTACAATGTAGCTGTGCAATAAATTTAAGCAAACAATGTTATTTCAGCTCTTTCTTTTTCTCAATAAATCAATCGCATAATCTGCTCCACATTCAACTGATGGCTTCAGTAAAGGACAGTGAACAATATCCAGCCTGTTAGTGTGAAATTATTGCTTTCCTATCCCTGAAGTAACTGCCTGTACCCATGCAACATGCAGAGACGTGTACTTTTTCCCATTAAAAAACAAAAGAAGTAAAAAACCAACACACTCACCAAACTGTGCACTGACAGAAGGAGGAACTACATCAGTGTGCATGCAGTAAATCAACAGCTAGCCATTTAGATACTCACTGAGGTCTCTGCACTTGATGGTGCTGTAGTTGAAGGAGATACAGAGGTAGTCACATGCCTCCCTCAGCTCGGGAATGGAAACGCCGTCAGGGCAGCGGATTATCCCCGACTTGTAGTAATCCTGCCATTTTCAGCGGCGCGATCGCACACATAAACGGACGGAGCGGTGGATGTTCATGCACGCACATGAGCAAGGGAGAAAAAACAAGGCGCCATTATTAATGCTGCTGCTGCTGAGAGAGAGCGAAAGAGAGGATGAGGAGAGGGGGGAGGGATGGAGAGCGAGCGAGCGAGTGGAGATGAAAGTAAAAAGCAACGTCACAGAGGAGAGAGAGGCTTAGAGGAGAAAGGGTGAAGGGTGATGAAAGTAAAAGCTTCCGACGTCAGCCTCCCTCCCTGCCCCACTTTCCATCCTCTGTCTGTCCCTGTGCACCCTCACGGTGGCTGTTACCCAGGAGACTTTCTACTGATGGGGAGAAAAAGAAAGAGTGGAGACACTCGGGGCACACAGGACAGAAAGTTCTGGCACATCTCATTTCCTGCTCTGCCTCATGTCTCCTTGTGTAATTCCCACAGACATGCAGGCTTTTGCCAAAATCCATTATACCACGACCACAATCGAGCAGCTTTTCGCCCGTTGTTACTAATGCTCTCCCAAAGAGAAGAGGCAAACACATAACATTTTACACCTGCCACAAACACTTTTGGAAGCAGACAACTTGGACGGCTTTCAGAATATTTCCTCTCCTCAGGCTGCTGTTGTGCTAATGATTATTTTGCTATGAACAGATGAAATCAGCATTAATGAACGAGCATGTTCACTACGGTCTGTGCACTGGGTGCTCTTTCAGCTGTCAGTAAATAGTCCAGGAAAAAGAAGCAGCAGTATGCTGTAACACATACCAAACATTTCAAACCACAACTGTATTCGTATCTGTGCATAACAGTCTTTACGTTATCTCACATTATTTTCACCAGCAGTTCCTCTTTCCGTTGTACTGTCAGATAAAAACATGCAACGTGACACCTGCAGTTTTTTCCCCTCTGTAAAAAGCTCCACTAACATAAAAGTTTCCTTCACGGCCTTACGAGACACTTTTACACGATCCAGCAAACCAGACAGTCCTGCAGCCTCTGGGTCAGATTCACCTTTTAAAGCTGGCCAAGTTTCTTTCAGAAGGGATCTTTGTTTTCAGCTTGTTCGCACAGTATTAGCATTATAAGCCAGCTTCTCCCATCAAAGCATGCCCCGAGGGGCCGTGGGTTCTCGACGTGTTGAGTGCTTTTGCAATAGTTTATACTGACAGTTTGTTTTTTTCATGTTGGGGGTTAGTTGTCAATTGGTGCATACAAAAAAATCCCTACCTCCCGCTCCTTCTTTATCAGTTTTGCTTTTAATTACGGCCGCCGACGTGTCACGCTGTAATAATTCTCCCCTTCAGTTTTCTTTTAGCAGAAAAGAATTTAAGGGTATAAAATCTGACTTGATAAATACCTAAAAACTGATATGTGTTATTTTTCTACACTTAGCCACTGCAAAACTTTCATGACAAAAGCAGATAAATGAGGGACAGTGACACCGGTAAATGTCACCTTATTTACTAGTTGCTTAGCAGCTGATACGCGACAAGACACTTGGCTGATGTATTTTTGCATCCTCACTGGAAGTACTCTGCTGCACCTGGCACAATTTAAATTCTGCAGTATTTAATTAAAGTGATTCTTTCTTTCTTCGGGCAAAACAAATGACAAAAGAGTAATAATCTATGTTAGAGGAAAGAGCAGGAAGCATTTAGTTCCTCTCTCTACATTTAACTGCAATGCCTCAACTTTAATTTGTATTAGACGTCTTTAGGCGGCACAAATTGACATTTTAGTGATACTAAAACTCACCTAGTACAACTGCACATGGGACTTTCACATGAATCTACCTCTGAGTGTGAGCATGTTAAACTGTTATCCCTGTTACCTGATGATGGGCTACAGAATGAAGAAGCAGACAGCTAGTGTGCGGACTAAAGTGCATGGTGTGGTATTGTGCTGGTAGTTTATAGGTGCAGTGTGTGAAAAATACGTGGAACAAGCAGTAATATGGTAATATTCTTGTTCATGTATGTGGTGACTATAAAAATAATATACAAAGAAATTCTTTGTAGTGAAGCGGAGTGTTAAAACAGATGAAAATGTCCACTGTGGCGATTTTTAATGCTACTTCTTCTTCTTCTTCTACTCTACTCTCTACTGTTCAAGTCAATTTTAAGCCAACCAGCATTCTACCTGTGGATAAAGTCCCTGCTGTCAGGCCACCCGCTTCTAGCATTTTGGAGGACTGAATGTCTCCGTCACACAATCCCTCTCTAAAAGGGACACAAATGTAGGACCATAAATCATTCGCAAGAGTTGCTGAATTGCAGCAAAAGCCCCCAAAATCTTAGCAAGACTATACCAGGATAGGTGGATATGACTGAACTGCACTGCAATGTACGGGTGCTTCTATTTAGCCCACATCATATGAACAGATGGAAGAAGAGCTTCAATTTTAAATAAACTCACATCAGCTTGTTATCCTCTGCAACCCACTAGAATATGCCAGCATGTGGCATACAGGTCTGACTGTAACTATAGGATCCCACCAGAAACAGACACTTTACTGAGACTGCAAATATTCTCAGCAGATATACGACCCCAACTTTCCTCAATGAGCCGTGCTTCTTAGAATAAAAAGAGCTGATGTTGTGTCTTTAGGATACAACATCAGCTTGTTTGAGGTACTTTGCTGCTTCTGTAATTGCAATCCCTGTTTGGGTAACTACATATTTATTTTAGAACCTATGATAACCATAATAAATGAGAGTTTAGATCATGCAAATAATCCAACGTTTTCAGAGAGGTTCTGGGCCCCAAACACAGGATGGAAAAAGAGAGAGAAAGGTTACAAAAAAGAATGAATATGCCGAAATAATCACACAGAGAATACAAGAGAAGACACTCATTGGGTCTGTGGTTAATAGAGGGGAAATGGAAAAGTCTGAGACAAAGTCAGGGAAAGAAATGACAGTGAAGCGAACACTAATGAGAGGATTACACAGAAAGTGACCGACACACAGACATCCTTTCTCACCAGGATGGCTCTGAAGACAGTGGAGCTGATACCATCTGCCACCTCAAACTCTCCTTTTTCATTGGGCCGAGTGAAATTGTTGTCCCGCCCAGAACCGAACATCCTGAAAATACACGGCAGGTTTTTTTTAATGACTGCAAACAACGGCTGAACAGATAAATGACCATCTATCTGTACTGCCATGCTTTGTGTTCATTAAAATGCATAAGCTGCTGATGATATACCTGGCCTGTGTTATCTCTATGCAGTTATAATCTAACAGAGAACTTCTTTTTTTGCCCGTCGTCTGATTTTCAGAGTGACTACCTCAACACTTATTTTTGTTGGTAAAATAATAAAACTTAAAAGTTAATGTGCTCTGATGTGGTCTGGACAATTACCTGCCCAGCATGGTGTTAGGCTGAGCTGTGAAAATAGCAGGATCCACCACAAATCGTGTGTTGTCCACAATGAGTGTTACTCTTTCTCCCAGTCTCAGCCCACTGCGATGTCCTTCTTTACTGCTCAGGTCATAGATGTAGATCATATCAGAGGATCCTTGGCTCAAAGTTTTGGAGTGGTGGTCAACTCCAGGAGAAGCCAGGGAACGAGGTATGTGTCCTACGTGGGAATGGGGAAGAGAAACCCTGGGTGGACGTGGGCTGGAGGACCTGGATGATGAGCCTCCTTCGCCACGTTCACGGTCTACGGATGGAGAAATGTGGACGATTAATGCAGAGAATATTTGGCCTGCTTTTACCATCTACAACAAGCACCTTTATCCTCCTCACCGTGCTGCCGAGTGGGAGAGGTAACATTCCTGATGCAAGGCGTCAACTGGCTCTCTCCCCGCTCATGGGAGGAGTCGCGTGAACGATCGCTGGAGCGCCGCCGCTGCTGTTCCCGGTAATGTTCTGCTCCTCCTCCTCTTTCTCTCGCACCGCCACTGGCACCGCCCCCGTACAGACTCATGGTCCTGACCTCCGGCCGCTGCTGGTGGTTGCAGTCCAACGCTGACACACCACACTGCTCACTTGTGAAGAGATGGGAGGAAATCACAATGACGCACATCTCGTAAAGTTCGATTATTAAAAATAAATAGTAATAGGATGCAGTAGAATAAAACTAGAGAAGATTAACAGAGATTTTTTTAAGAACACTTGATGCCTCCTACAGTTATACATGTCAGGTCAACTAGCTACAGCTGTGTAAGGTACATAAAACCCTGCAGTGCTGTTAATATGAAATGGATGCAGAACATGTCGAGTTATGCGCTAATAGTGTAATGCAGTAACATGTAAATGACCGAGAAAGTGCATCAACACAAAGACTGACTCGTACACTAATTAACCAGGTGAGATTAGACCTCGAGTCCTGACTCTAATATAAGCCAGTTTCAGATTAAGACCTACGACCTTCTCCAGGTGAAGCCAATAAATGCCCACATACTTTTAGACTAATTAAGGCTATTATTGTTTGGCTCCGTATCTTTATCTCTATCACTTCTGTGGCTTTTATATACATAAAAACAGCATAATCCTGCATTTCTTTACTGTCTTATGGAAATCCATGATTGCAAAGATTAAACAGGTTTTTTTAATTTAATGAAAGCAACTGCCAAATACTGGTTCTCATAAATTAAGAGTGGAATCAATACAAGTCAGAAATTGCATTACTTTGTTTGTCCGCTGCAATGATGACCTTCATCTGCCCTTCTCATTTATTCCTTAATATTTAGAGCAACTAGCATAATTTCATTACAGCAAAACGGAAAATATAAGAAGATTTGGTATTAATTATTAGGTCGCAAAACTTTAAAGTATACCAATCTCTAAAATGTTTATCCCATATATATACATATATTAAGCGTTTCGTTAACTGTGTCCGTAGCTCTAGAAAAACACCTCACATCTGACAGCTTCTCATCGTCTTATACTTCATGGAGCTGAACAGTGAGTAGATAATCGAGCAACTCCATAAAGGTTTTTATATTTAAAGCATCACTTTAGAAACTCATTCAAAGCAGCCATTCAAGTTTGATGTGCTCAAAGCTTCGAGTCCAAGTGGGACGGCACTAATGATCGCACAGAAACCCAAAGTACTGATGCGTGACTTCATGGAGCGGCAAGGCACATTACTCTGCATCCTCTCTAGACTCATTCACACTGTCGTGCAGAAATCGCTCGAGGAGCAAAAGAGTAGTTTTTTACATGCCGAGCCGCGGGACGAGAAAAGTCTGCAGTCAACTCGCGTGAACCCCAACAGGCCCTAAGTGCTGCAGAAACACAACTGCACCAAACTGTGAGCACCACCGACCTCAGCCTTCAGCTACAGGCACACACTACATCAGCATCAATTAGAGGGTGTATCCATGTGAAACAATCTGAGTGAGACGAACTCACTTGGCTACAGGACAACAAAGAGAAATCGTCTCGATTGTTTATTTGCTCCACAAGCTGGTTTTTCACAGGTTTTTGACAGATAGGTAACGACCGATCCACCTTGCTTCGGAGTGAGCGATGCTTCCTTGAGTGTTTTTTCCAGAGACAGACAAGCAGCCCTGAGAGAGCTCTTACAATATCTGCCCTCCATTTCAGAAAGGAGTTAAACACACAAGCTCCTGCGTGCATTAATGCACTCGAGAAATGCAGAAGCAGGCACGCACACTCAAGCGAAAAGCAACTCGCTTCCATTATTGGCTTCAGGCTTTCATTGTTTTAAGACTGAAAGAGAAATACTTGCAAAAACGGATCTTCAGTCATGTTAAACTACATGACAAATACCAAATGTAAAGCATTATCTATACTTTTACATATATAGGTGCTCATATTAAACACTGACAAAGTTTCAAAAAAGTACAAAACAATCCCCAGGAGCCCAAAGCTCAGGTTCAGATTGTTCTAAACACTGTTTCAGACATTTTATCTGCTCGTGAATCTTTGTGATGTCACAGAGCAGGGATTTCTCACTCTATCATTATTTTGAACTGTTAATCATGCAAAGCTATTATATGAGCTGGACACTAGCTTAACATGTCCCCTTCAACCAGATCTTAGAAATGTGAACATCAATTTTCTCCACATTCTTCCCCAAAAAATACTAAAATTCAGATGCCGTCAGTACATTCTGTTAATTTTAACCCAGGATCAACAAATATGGATTCGTTTGAACTGTGAATCATACAAAGCTGCCTTAGGAGAGTCCCAAAATAAAAAGATGGAGCTAAAATGAGCTTACACAGAATACAGGTGCAGTACACTGAAGTCATATAATGTAGTTACAAGCAGACGAATAGGATGAATAGGGAACATAAAATCTGCTTGGATAGCTGTGTGATAATTATATCACTGCATTTACTATCAACACAGGTCTGTACCAAACGGTTAATGACAGTATTGATTAATCTGACTCAATTATTTATTTGTTTGAAAGAAAACTTGAAAAGGACTATAAAATACATGAATGTCTTTAGCCTAATAACAGTCCAGAACCTAAAGGTTGACAAATCACTGAAGTGTACAAAAATGTAACCAAACAGTTGCTAACACAGTACTGCACTACCAAAGGTTCTGATAATTAAATCATTATTTAGTTATTACTGATTGATAACTCTGTTAGATGTGTTGATGAATGCACCCATTATAGATCCACTGCGACAGTACAGCTGGCTCTTTGATCAATAGCACTGAGCTTATAAGGCAGAAACAAATCCAGGTCTCAGTAATGAAGAGAGCTGGGTCTCCCGAGAGGAGTCGCTATGAAATATGATGATGACCGTCTACTGGAGGTGATATCATCAGAGAGACATAAAATGGAAGAAACAGGCTGACTTCTTCCATAAAAAAGACAAGGTCCTGTAAAAGTGGCTTCAACTCTGACAATGACAACACATATAAGTTGTTACATTAACATACACTAAAAAGCGTCTGGTCTGGATTTCTAACATGTCTTCTGTTCAGTCTTTTCAATTTGAACTTGAACATGATCATCGAGGAGGACAACATTTAGGGCATCACTCAAACTGTACATCAAAATAAAGATGATAACAGAGAAGAGGTGAGAGTGTCTACTTATAGTAACTAGCATCCACTGCCACAATGTGGGATACTTTTATTTAGGATGTGAATGTATTTGAACATTCAAATAATCATTATTCTTAAATGAAACTGTTTGTGGGGACATTTTTTCACCCTTGATGTGACATAACACACTACAACCATGAAAAAGTGGCAGTAAAGCACAAAAAAAAGGAAAAAGAAATCAAATTTTGGAATAAATGTGTACAGTATTTTTGCTATTAAAACCCATCCAAACTTTACATTACAATAGTTTTGATTTGTGGTCACAGGCAGCAGTACTTCAATATCTGTGCTTTATTTGGTTTTAGTCTTTGCGTAAAACAAAACAAACAACAGCATTTGTGGCGTGAGCTCTTTTAGTCGAGTGAATGCATCACATACACCAGGAGAGAAATCCATCTTTTGGAAGTTTTCTCCACAGGAAAGCTGTGAATAGTAACGTCTCTTGCCTCGTTTCCTTTCCACCTGAAATTACAACCTTTAAAAAGTGCACTGTGGCATTTCTGGATGCTTTGTATACCCCAGACTGTTAGATATAGCAACTCTATAACTATAACTCGGGAGTGCCACCAGGGATTTGTCATCAACCCAGAGTGGAGGACTGCACACTCCAAGTACTGTCGCCCTTTGGATGGTTTTATATACATCTAGGATAATTCAAATAATGACAGCACTTTGTGTTTTTAACAAGACACTAAGTGAGGAAAATCACTGGGGTTTATTCTAGAACCAAGGGTTAAGTAAGCTGTTCAATAACACAGCAGAACTGAACTTTATTTCCCTGCACCATGCCCACTAAACAGGTTTTGCATGTTTTGGCAGAGCCTCAAAGGCTGGTAATTAGAAAAGGCTCCCTGGATGCCGGCTGAGATCTCAGCGTGCCGGACAGCCGGCTTGCTGCTGCTGGTCAGACGGGTTGACCGGCTGGCTGACAGACTGATTGAGTGGTTAATTGGTTAACTGTCTGGCTGGGTCAGCGGGAGGGTAGACCATAATGTCAGAAGACAAGCAAACTGATAAATTAAAAAAAAAAAAAGAATTCTCCGCAAAAGCAATGCAGCAATGACTTGCCTCTATGGCGATTCAAGGTCATTTATTCATTTTACCAGACGGCAACCCATCAGTCTTGTGAAGCAAAAAGCTCAACTGTTTGCGCACAAATTTCTACAAATTTAGCGTGTCTAAAATAAAAATAAAAATTTAAAGCCACGCACATGGAGATAGTTAACTTCTCAAGCAGGATAACCTCTCAGACATCAAAATGGAAACAAAAATTAATAATAATTTCCGTATTAATACAGAGCTGCAGACTCCGCCAGTGTCCTTGAAGGGAAGGGTCACCATAGTAGCTGAGCAAAAGGAGAAACGGGTGCAGACACACACAAAAACACCAATGTCTGCTTCAGGTTCAGTGTCTTCAGGTGAACTGTACGACAGGCGCACACACAAAGCGGGCACTGACCATTGCTGAAATGTGAAAAACACCATTATTCATACAGAGAGCAGCAGCCCGGCCCGTCATCCAACACAGCATACCTCGACTCATGACACGCTCATTAATAATGAAGTCTCCTTTTCAAAAACACCACAGTTAAGAGTTCTGGCAAGATGTGGCTGATTATGTAATATATGTATTTACACCAGTGCCTGACACAGCATGAATCTCCAATGGGATTCTAATGCTTGGCCGAAATGGGAAATTAAGAATAAAAGCGGGTCTTGCAGCCAAACAGGCTGCCAGCCAGCAGCCACACCAGCAGAGTGGAGGGAACAAAGGAACTGAGAAGGCAATACTTCACTCAGGGCAGGCAGATCCTCTCATCTTTCACATGGCAATGCAAGTCTACAGAAGCCACGATTTCACACAGACGGGGCTAACATTTCACTTGTCTAATTTCCTGCTACTGGACACCCCTCCCTCCCCCCTCCTATACCACCATTTCTACTTTCTTATTCATCTCAAGAGGTACATTGGTTCTGTGTGTGCAGTTTTAATGCAAGTCAGCAACCCATCTAAGACACAGTAAGACAGGCAACGATGCATGGCGTCCTGGCAGTCTATTAAAAGCATGAGGTGAGAGCCCCAAGTGGTGAGGGTCCAATCTATTATTTAGGGGCAGCTGACACTACTGATGGGCGAAGGCAGGGAAGCTGCCCTGTACAAAATAAATCCAACAAAAGGACAATTAATTAAAAAGGCATAAAAATGGGAATTACCATTCATAACAAGGATATAAATGCCACCCCTTGCCCAGGATGAGTGGATGTGAGACTACCATAAATATCATTATATCATCTCACACACTCCACAGAGTCCCATCAAGGATAAACCTCCTGTCACTGCTCTTCCTTTTTGGACCACTATTATAATTCTTTTCATGACAGGGAGGCATACCGAGAGCAGAGCACTAACACATGTAACACAATGACAGAGCTGAAAAGCCTCGGTGCTTTGAAAGCCGACGTGCACCTACCGCTCGGTATCAGAGGGCCAAGTGAAGACAAAGCAGCAGGGAACGAGCTGCGGGATGACAGCGGCACAAAAGCCTTGCGCTCCTCCGAACAAAGCGGGCTTGCCGGCAGCTTCAGCATCCTCGCTCATTACTTTCCAACTTCATCAGCATCGTTTCACACGCACACACTCAGGCCAGACTTAACTCGCTGGTTTAAAAAAGAAAAACACAAATAAAAATCCACCAAAAGCGTTTAACGTGTCTGGATGACGAGGGGGGGGAAGACTCGCTCGGGCTAGTCATTCAGAGTCACCGGAGGGACCTTAAACTGTGAATGGCCGCGTGCTTCGCTGAATCAGAGCGGTGCTGCCTTCACGTGATCCTCGTAAGTTGCCACTTCTCAGGGCTCCGTGTATTTTTTTTATTTTTTTTTGGTTTGCTTTTAAGTCGTTCTTTCTTTGCGCACAACAATTATAACGATTTATTTGTTTGACATTATATCGTAAAGAAAATTTACCCTGGCTTATCCAGAAGGTTACTGAACTTTAAAAATTATTTTCAAAACTGTGATATTATCTAATAAAACGGAAATCCTCCAGTTTCCCATTCCTCATAAATATATTTGAAAAACCGCAAATGAGATTAATTCTTCAAATTTCATAGGCTCTGGATCCTAGTTTGATGAAGATGAAATGCAGAGATAACACAGCCTCTTTTATACTTAACCCTTCGCATGAAATAAAAATGCATTAATACGCTTTTTTTCTTTTTCTTTTTTTTTTGTGCCTTCAACAACTTCCAGTTTGAAGTGACTGAAGAACAAACAGGATGAATTCCTGGATAACAATATCATTAGCAGAATCTCCCTCACTGTGCTGAATGCTGAACTACTGAAACAGCAGAAACCCTGGACTTGCATCTGAAAGCAATATATTTTATCTCCTTGCTTTGTTTCTTAATTTGGTAAGTTTAGTCCCCAGGCGTTTTATAACTGGATATTCTTGTATTTTGCTTATTTATTGTTGTCTTTTTATCTCTTATTCCTCCATTTCTTTTTGCCTAATATATTTCCTGTGGGGGAAAACTTGTTTATTGTGCCTTGTAAATGGGTTAAAAATCTCTTTAGATAGGACCACTAAGACATGGAGCTACTTTTGTAATTATTACTACATTTTACACATACATTTTTTTAATCTTGCATTTCATGGGCACTGACTGTTCAACACAGCCTACTTCTATCTTCAGCTAGATGTCTAAGGCATTACACCTACTTAAGTGCTGCATACTACAAATGCTAAATTCTTTATACCCAATTCGTAACTCTTGAACTTTCAGCAACCTGGCAACAAATCTTTTTTTTGAGTCTTGCATAGCCTTTTTAAATATTCTTAACACGGTGGTCAGATAATATTTGAGTTGAAGAAAACATACACTCACTGGCCATTTCATTTGGTACACCTGTTTAGCTGCTCGTTAACACAAACATCTAATCATCCAATCACGTGTAGACATGGTAAAAAACAGTTAAACTTGAAACCAAGAATGAGAATGGTAAGAAAGGTGATTAAGACTTTGTTGGTGTTGATTTAGAGGTTATCAGTGCCAGACGGGCTGGTCTGAGTATTTCAAAAGCTGTTGATCTACTGGGATTTTTTCACCCAACCAGCTCCAGGTTTAACGGAGAATGGACTGAAAAAGAGAAACTTTCCAGTGAAGGCAACGGTAATTCAAATAATCACTCATTACAGCCCAGGTATGCTAAAAAGCATCTCTGAATGCACTACACATCAAACCTTAAAGCAGATGGGATAGAGTGGTAGAGGATCACAATGTGTGCCACTCCTGTCAGCTAAGACAGCAAACTGAGGCTTAATTTTTGCTGCAGGATTTGGGCAGCATAGTCAAAATTTGACATAAACAAAATTGAAGCATGGATCCAATCTGCCTTGTATCAGTGGATCAGGCCTCTGCTGGGATATTTTCTTGGCACACTTTGGGGACCATAGTCCCGTGTATTGTTAAAATACCGCAGCTTACCTGAGTACTGTTGCTGACCATGTTCATGAAATTCATCAAAGGGGTTTCTTAAACATGACAGTGAGTTCACTGTACACAAATGGCCTCCATGGTCAGTGAAGCACAACTGACAAATCTGCAACAACTGTAAATATGACATGTCTGTAAAGAGTCACCCAGGTCATGGTAATCTAAGTCTTTAAAAAACATAAAGAAGTCCATTCGCTTTTCTTTCCCAGCTTCCTTGAGTGTATGATATGACAGCATTTATCAAAGTCTGAGGAATGTTTCCAGTACTTTGTTGAATCTGTAGCATGAAGAATTAAGGTGGAGAAGACTAAATGTCAACAACATGTACCTTGTACATGGACTTGCCAGCTGCACTACTTAAAATTATTTGCTCATGTTTGTGAACACAACTTGCCACGTTTGTTCTGTGAGTCAGCAGATATTTTGTGCAGAAAGTTCAACACGTCACCATCGCAACCAAGAAAGCCGAGTTTTAAAGCAGTGTTTCTCAAACACTGTGCAGCGGCACATAGATGTGCAGTGAGAAATGATCAGGCCTGCCGTGGAAGGTTATCTGGTTCCACCTGATTACTCTATAACAGCGGTCTCCAACCCTTTTTGCGCCACGGACCGGTTTATGTCCGACAATATTTTCATGGACCGGCCTTTAAGGTGTCGTGGATAAATACAACAAAATAAAACCAGTACCGGTACCCCCCAAAAAAGATTTACTCATAACACACGGGGAAAGACCCAGGGAAAGCGAGTTAACGATAAAAACTATTAAAAAAAATGATAAAAACCGATAAAACCCGGAAACCATTAATTTCACACCCGAGCCTCAACTCTCGCGGACTGGGGTTGGGGACCGCTGCTCTAAGCCATCAGCGTGAGTAAGGGGCAGAACAATTACATTCTCTTCCACTAGAGGGCAGTACAACTACCTGCTCTAAATAAATCAGAATCAGAATACTTTATTAATCCCTACGGAAATTATGTGGGTTACAGTTGCTCCGAGACAGTAACAGACTAAACTATTTAAATAATACAATATGTTACAGAGTTTACAAATTTAAGAAATAGTACTAAGATATAAAAATCGCTCAATTATAAATATCAAGAATATTGACAAAGAATTACAAAGCTGAGAATATTACAGGGGTGGAATATTTATGATTGACATTTGACTCTAGCCTGTGAACACGTGTGCTTGTATTTGTCTTACTTTTAACTTTTATACTTTTTCAATTATTAAACTTTATTCAACAATAATTTATTATGTATTTCAGTGGGAGAATCTTCAAATCTTCATTCAACTTACACATCTTTCAACTTTAACTACTTCCACATACTCACCTACGGACACCATTCAAACAAAGACAAGACCCGGGTCTCTAAGAGTTACCGCTGCATTGACATGAGTAGCAAAGGGGGACAAAACCTTGTTGTCTCTCAGCAGCTTTCAAGCTGGAAAAGTGCAAGATCACAGAAACATCAACACTAATTACATAATAGTGATGCTGTGAGACGACGCAGTGTGTAATAGCAATAGATAAATATTTACAAAGAAAAAGTAGTCAATCTGACATGTGTCCTGGAGAAAATTCGGACCCAGCTGAAGGCCCTCGCATGAGTAGTGGTCAGGAGAAATCTTTTTGAAACCTAGTCCTGGACACTTACCGACAAACCCCAAACCAAGTTGTCTGTAATGTCAATTAATAAAATTAATTACATTTTATTTTAAAAAAATCACCGGTCTTAGCTGAACTGTGTTCTCTGATATGAGCAACAAAATAATTAATTCCTGCATCCTCCAAATGTGGGCGTAAATACTAAATTCAGTCTACATGCACACAAATCGGTACATATGAGACTGAACGGATGATGATGCATGTTTGTGTTTGACACCGTGTTAAATTTTTATATCGACCGTTTCATCAGTATACCTCGGTATACTCTCACGGTCTTAGCACTGACAAGGACACTAGCAAAAATCAAAACTCGAGAAAAAAAAACAGTCAGGAAAGATATGAAGGGAGCAAAGGTCTGTGGCTATTCCCTTTAACAGGGGTTGTCTTGTTGTTGCCTCTCCTGTTTGACCTGTTGTCACTTTCATCTGCACAAAAAGCAGGTTAAATAGTTTCACAATGATTTATGTGATCCATGAGCTGACTTTGTGTTATGCTGTGATGATCCAGTGTTCCCTTAATTTTTTTGGAGCAGTGTATATAGCTAATCCATAAAGGTTTTAGCCTGCAACAAGATTCTTCTTACTACTTATTCTATCTCACCCCTATCCTTAGCATCCTATTCTGCTGTCACGGCAACAAGACACAGTTCATTAACCTCCAAGATAAGCTTCAAAGCGCACTTATAATAACTCTCACCATCATGCACTGATAAGACCATTCCATTGGACAACAGCAAAAATCAATATAGACAGCCTTCCTTGCATTAACAACAGCACTACCGCCTCCTCATCTACGGGAAAATTAGCTGTTTTTGCAAAGGTCAACTCCCAGCTCAGTAATAAATTTATGGATCCAGAAGTAGTGGAGCCATCAAACTATTTCACAAATATTCACTCACTCAAGCTGGGATTAACCATTACATCACCTGTCTGTCCATATGGATTGCAATGTACCCTGCTTTCATATCGCATAATGGTGAATTATCACATTAGCTTCTTATTTTACAGCAACTACAAACAACCGCCCACTACAGAGTTTTGACACTTAACAGAACTACACTAAACACAAAGTGCAGCTCCAGCTCAGCAAAGAGTTGAGTTAATATCAAATTAAGTTGGTTAACTTTAGTTGAGCTGCGTAATCTGATAAAATTATAAGAAACCAGGTTAGCCTATTAAGTTAGCGCTTACAGCATCTCCTGACTGCTAGGAGCTAACTGCTACCAGAAAAAGGAGTTTATAAAAGCTCCCTGTTACCTTTTTGCGTTACATTCCGATTTGTAGTCGTGACAGTTGCTTAAACAGCCCGCTGCACCTTTAACCGAAGATTGGAGAGGCAGAAAAAGACGAGCGTTTTTGTAAGAAAACCCCCTGTAGACAAACTACTGTTAGCTTGAGGACTCTTTGTTTTGGTTTGGGTGAGCGGAGTTCGCGTGGAATATCGCGAGAAAACAGTTCAGCGTGCTGACACAGGCGCGCACTGCACATAATAAGAATTACAACAATGACATGACATTTAAATATTTTATTCCGTTTATTCCACTTCATTAGTGTCATACTTCTTACTAAAGTCATTTAAACTTTATTTTTTATATTTTTGAAGTGCATTGCAGCCTACTTATTTATTTTGGCTTTGGGGTCAAAAGTAAAGTAAACAGCGCGCAAACCTGCAATGCAATCATATAAATTAATTTATACATGTAAAAATATATGAAATTAAAAACACGACACATTTGGTCCAAAGTTTTATCTCCTTCAAGATGTAGAAGTCGTTTTTATGAGTGGCCTACACACCACCTGTCATATAAAAGTGCACGCACAACAGGGAAGCTTTGCCTAATCCAAAAAAAATTCATAAATATCAGTTTAATAAATAAAATCAGTCTAAATAAATAGAGTAAAAATGCACACTGACAGTAAAGGCAGGCTAACACTTATAAAAGAAACAAGAATCTACAAAGTAGCCTCAAGTTTTGCACCGTGAAGGTTCTGGAAATGTTGCTGCGGTCATATAATAATAACAATTTAAAAAAAAAAAATCTAAACTCATTCTGACTTGAGGAGCTCGTCCAAAACGTTCAAAGCGTGCTGGATCTCATCAGAAGTCAGATCGCTCAGCTCGTCCATCTCCTCCAGACGCAGCGGCCACCTTCTCCTCCTCCGGCCCGTCGTCTCCCGACTGCTGTTCCGGGCTCCTGCCGTGTGGATACCCCGGAGTCTCATCTGCAGCCACTCCCGGCGCTCCTGCACCTGCTTGTGCTCTCCGAGGTTGTGCATGAACTGGACCTCACTCACTGTCCTTTTACTGTGCACAGATATGTGATATTGCTAGGATCTAATAGTGATGAACTTGTTATGGTGAAAAAAAATCATCTTAAATGATCTGTGAGGATTACCTTAGTGGTCGTCCTTGACAGTGAACGGAGAAGTGTAAAAGGCAGAGTGAAATAAGTAGAATCTTATAGTCAGTTTTTCCCATTTTGATTACCTGTTAAAAACAAAAAATACAAAAAGAATAAAACTTCAATATTTTTTTTAAAACTGCCTGAAATGAAAAGAATATATGACCTTTAGTCTTAAAAGTGTCAATTAATTTTTAAATTTAATCTATCTTGAAACCACTGCATCCTCTATCTCAACATATATTAATTGTATTAATGTATTAATGTATAAAAATGCAAATATATTACAATAAAGCTTACACAACTAATAACTTCAATTAGATTCAAGCCTTAGTGGGCCTCCGTTTTAGCCCAAGTATAGCCCAAGATGAACTTACCTGTGTTGTAAAGTGAGTCAGCCTGCTTTGGTGGTCCGCTCCTATCAGTTATGATTAGACCAGGACTCCCCAAGTTCCTTTTTATATCCTCGGGCTCCTGCCATTGATGAGCTGCCTTCATTATTGCTGTTGATGTCACACCTCTAGCTCGTGGAGGGGGCAGAAGAGGAATGACAACACCGCCTCTGAACTCCAGGCTTTCACTTTTGTCATACGAGAGCAAATAAATGCTTTTGACCCCAAATACCCACACACACTTATTTTACACGCACAAACTTTTGTCAGAATGAATGCATTGTTGGTATATTGCAAATCCATTAACTACTTTTATGCACAGGGATTTTGCGCCTGGAGACATTTTATCTATGTGACTGTGACAGTGCAGTTTTTCTAACTGGCACAGAATCGTGTTATGAAGTTACTTATTGTAATAAGATGATGATAGTGGGACTACACAGAGGGTCTTGTTTCAGGGTCCAAAACTACACATTCCCAAGCTTCAGTTCAAACTTCTCTCCACATTCTCAATTTAGCATGCTTCTCTTTTGTTTTTTCTTTATTTCTGTGAGCCATCCAGATCTATTAGTTCACATCTGAAGTGACCTTTTTTGTCTGACTCCCGTGCGCCTCACAACAATAGCAGCAACATTTGGATGGGTTTATGACCCTCACTGACTTATAGGGAGTCGCCCTGGTTACGCCGACTTCTTACCCAAGAATTAACATTATCTTAATGAGTTTGTCTCCCAAAAAAAGAGCTTTTGCACCAAGTTGACGTCAGAGGAAACGTCTTGAATCAAAGAGTAAGTAGTAGTTCAGGAGGTGCATGGCTGGGTGATGCCACTGCCGTCACCGTCTTCACCATGACTGGCAAGCATACATGGAGAGTTACACATTTTTCTTTTTTATTAAGTTAAAAAACATTTAAATAGTGACGATTTTTATTAAAAAACAAAACAAAACATCATTTTCATTTTCATACAGATTTCTTGGTGATCGCGTACAATAACACCATCAGTGAACCATAAATCTGCTGCTTCGATCCTCTAAAAGATTTTCCCTTATTCAGCATTTTGATTACGTGTTACGGAGTGCTCTGTAACACCCTGTAGGTGATCAGTGTTAAGAACTGGTGA